TTTTGTTACTTTTAGCTAGCAGCTAGCCTTAGCTACTTTTAGCTTGAAGCTACACTTTTGCTAATTTTAGTTTTTGGTTAGCTTTTTGTTACATTTAGTTTTGAGATAGCCTTATGCTAATTTTAGCATTGGTACTTCTAGCAAGCTTTTGTTGCTTTTTGCTTTTACCTTGTTTTGTATTACGTTTATCTTTTTGTTAACCTACTACTTTTATTTTAAAGCTAGTCTTTAGCTAAGTTTAACTTTTAGCCAGCTTTTTGTTTGATATATTTATTAACCTTTATTTAACAGGCAAATCCCATTGAGATCAAAGATCTAGTTTTTAAAGGAGGCCCGGGCCTGAAGGCAGCCGAACATGTTTTTGGACTGAGGGAGGAAACCCACACAAACATGAGGAGAACATGTTAACTCCACACAGAAAAACCACAGGTAAAAAAATGGGGATTGAACCCAGTACCTTGTTGCTGTGAGGTAACCAATGCTAACCACTGTGCCATTGTGCTGCCACAATGGTGCATTTGGCTTTGAGCTAGACTTATGCTAGTTTTTGTTAATCTTTTTCTGCTTTTAGTTAGCATGTGGGTACTTTTAGCAAGGCTATTGCTACTTTTATCTTTTAGTTAGTGTTCTTTTAGCTAAGGTTCTACTTTTTAAGCTTCAACAACTGTTTCAGCTTCCTCAGTTGAGTTTTACCAAACTAGAGAGACAAGGAGCTCAAATATTTTTTGTAGAGATTACTGATAATCTCCACCTCTTGCTTCAATATAAAATCTGCCTCTTCTAGGTTCTGATAACAGAAAACATTTCACTTTGGATTTAATACTTACAGGAGGCAAAGATGATTTGACAAAAACATTTGGTCAAAATAATCAAAATGAGGTTAATTAAACATTTATTTTCATCGAGGAGTCTCATTTTATCCTAAACTGACGGCTCCTAAAATAAACTTTAAGATTTAGTAACTTATAAACTGAGTGACAAGTTTAAAACAAAAGAATGTTTTTTATTATTCTAAATGGCTAATGGGAGTGGTGCGCTGCAGTCTCCAGGTTTACCGCTAGATGGCGCTATTGTGCAGATATTTTCCACAATATTTAAACGTTAAAATTAGGAATAAAGTAAAAGACAAAAATTTAAGTCTTTCATGATATGATGTGGGGTTTTCTCTTTGGGGTTTTATAATAAAATAAATAAATACAATTTAATAAAACTGCTGGAGGAGGAAAGGGAATCAAGACGCACATGAACCGGCGGCCTTTAGGACCCAGCATCCTCACAGGAGCAGAGACAACGATCGGGCTGAGTAAAGTTACACAGGAGCACGCGGACAGGAAGTACAAACACCTTATTCAGCTTCAAAATAAAGGTCGGACACGTTTATTTCATTCAAAACAGGAATTTATTTTTGTAAATCTTTTAAATCAAAATGAATATTTTTGTTTAAAAGAGTGATGTTTACAACTTTCATATAACAATAATTTATTTAATTTGTACTGCACTTTACATTTTACAATCTCAAAGTGCTATAATATAAAATATCTAAAGAGAATAACACATGGACTATATATATATGTATATATATATATATATATATATACATATATTTTTTTTTTTTTTTTT